GAAAGGAGAGCTCCGAGTGCGCAAGTTGAGCGAGTCGTTCGTCGAGCACGCTAGCTAATATCACTATCTCGGAACCTTTAAAGTGTTTGAGCGCGGAGTTTCTTATCTGCACAAGTGCGAGCGGCTCGAATTCTTGCCGTGGCGGGCGCGAAGAAACCTCCGCTTTAAAGGCAACGAGCAAGGCAAGTTTCGCCAAAGTTCTGTCCAATATCGTATTCTGTCCTAATTAAACTTTCCAGAAGCCCTGCTTAATTCTTAATGAAGCTACGACCATGATTTTCCGCCGAATACGGCGGCGTGGAACAACAGCCGGCGCCGCGCGCGAGGAGTTTCAGCCGTCAACGTCGAGACCCGTTTCGCAAAATATCCGCCGACTACTGCATGGCTTAAAAAGAGAGAGAGAGAGAGAGAGAGAAAGAGCAGGTTTCCCGTGCCAGACGAAAAGAACGGTCCTCCGGAGCCGCCGGCGCGCTTCTCGGCGCGCTTCGACGCTGATTTTCGAGCCCTGCAAAATGCAGAAAGGAGCGGCCGAAATTTGCATGCATCCTCGAGCTCGCGGGGCGAACAACCGCGCGCAGAGCGCGCTCGTGTGAGAAAGTTGAAGTTGCATTCAGCGTATACGCACAGGAGGGCTTTTCCCCAAACACGCGCGCGCGCGAAAATCGTTAACGAAAGCCGCTCGCAAACTGCAACTGCGAGCAATTTGCATGATTGTACACGCGTAAGTAATCCCACCTTTCGCGGAGGGAAGGGAAAAAGCGCGACGCGTATCCATTACCGCTATGAGAAATTTTCGCCCGGCCGAGCTTTTCCGCCCTTTTCCCTCCTCCTCGTCGTATCCGGTCGCTCTTAAACGGCGTGTAACGCGATTTTCATCGCGACACTACACATCCCGGCTCATCTCTTCGCCGGAAGGCAGGATCAGGTCGGGGGGAGGGGGGCAGGGAGGGAGGACGCGTCGGGGGAGAGACACGTAACAGCGCGCGCGACGCATGAATGACGCACGCGGCTTCCTCCCGGCGGGCGGCGCGCGACAATGACGCGCGAGTGCGTGTGTACGGCGCGACAAATCCGCGGCGGATTAATCACTCATATCGCGCACACGGCGAACGCTGCCCCCGCCGCCGCTCATTTATCGTGCTCGAGTTCCAAATCGCAGAAACGCGCGCGCTCCTCGCCGACGCGGCGTGGCCGCGTCGAATCGACAAGCTCTTCCGACTCCCGTCGGACGTTTCTAACGTCCGAAACCGCGTCCCGGCGGCAAAACTTGCCGAAGTCTCCCCCGCGGAGCGGAAGCGAAAGAGAACGAGCGGCGCGGAGCGACGGGGATTCGTCTGGCGTCTGGATTCGGAGCCCGCAGGATGACAATCGAGGACGAGCTGTTGCAACTCGGCTGGTCCTCGGCTCACCCGTGTTTTAGGCCCCGACTTGAAGTTTCAGCCTGATTTTTTATCTTAATATCTTGTATAATAGATTCTGAGGGACCAATGGAGATTTGATTTATGTCGAAACAGAAGTCCTACTCAATGGCAGAAAACGCATCACTTTTGCCATTTGTAGGCTCTCAGGAAGAGCTCGGCAAGGTTTTAGATTAAATGTAAGCAAGATAAACTGAGGCTTCAGGGTGGTAAAATCTGCTCGGAACGGAATATCGAGGTCGAAGATGGATTCGAAATTTCGACTCGGAGATGGAGATTTGGTTTGTGGAGATTTGGCAGAAAATGGAATCTTACTCAGCGTGTCTGACGGAAACCGCGCGATTAGTCACTTGAATATTCTCGGAAAGAGGATGAATTTCTTTCTTACACGATAGTGGAGCTTTCTCCAAAGTTTGTGATGGGCGTGTCTTAAGTCTACGACCAAGAAAATAATTCTCTGTTCAGGACAGGCATGATTCAAAAGCAATTGAGTAAAAGTGATCGCTGTTCTTGGCAGCGGAATGATATTTTTCCCCGCGTACGTGTGTGCGGATATCGTTTCTCCGAGTCGCCGCGCCGGGTTCTCGTTCGGTCCCCATCTCGTCTGAAATCTCTTCTTTCCGTGTGCTCTCTTTATTCTCGTCGTGCGTAAGACTCGCCCAAGAAATCGGAAATAATAAATCGCGGCGAAATGCGCGAGAGCACGCTCGCTTTCTAGCCGCGCGGATGATACGCGGATGCGAACGTAAAGCGGGAAAGTGGATCCGCATACTTTCACCGTTACATACGTATGTGTATCGCGCAGTCGATAGCCGGGGATATTTCAGCGCGGGTATTTTACCGAGGCTATTCTCACTGGAGTGGCCGACATTGCGCCGGGTATTACCCGAGTACCCGGTTATTTCGGGCATTACTCGAGACGAGGCGGATAATAGCGCGCGCGCGCTCCCTGTTTGTCGTTGCGAAATAACGAGGAAAACGGAATTCGCCCGGCCTCGAAACTTAAACCCGATTTCGAGCTCATCCTCCGGGCGCACTCGCATCCATCCATCCTCCCATCCATCCATCCATCTATCCGACCATCCGTCGAGATTATATCTCCGTCAACGCAACTCGTAACGCGCACGAAATCCCGATCCGAACGCTCGGCCGAGCCGGTCCAACGAGAGGGAGTAGTACTGCCCTCTCTCTCTCTCTCTCGATTTACTCTCTCCTTCGCATTCCCTCCCGTTTCAGTTTCATCTTATTCTCGGCCTTGATCGCTCCGGCATGGAGCAAGGACCGAGCGGAAAAAGAAAACGAGAGCTGTTCGCGGCTACGAGAAGAGAGAGGACGGGATGCAATCTCTCTTTCTCTCTCTCTCTCTCTTCCCCTCTGCCTCTGTCTTTCTCTTCCTCTGTCGGACCATCGGCTGAGATACACAACACGGGCTGTGTACAGGGTGGCCCGGACTCATATATACGTACGCATATATACGTAAAGAAGTACGCACACACTCGTATGTGAAATGACTCGTCTCGACTGATCGTTCGAATCGCTCGAACCTCCGAACGTTTGTCTCTCTCTCTCTCTCTCTCTCTCTCTCTCTCTCTCTCTCTCTCTCTCTCTCTCTCTCTCTCTCTCTCTCTCTCTCTCTCTCTCTCTCTCTCTCTCTCTCTGTCTCTCTCTCTCTCTCTCTCTCGATTGGAAAGTCTGACCGGACGATCCTGATACATCTCCTGTGCGTTTGGTAATTCTAGGATACGGAGGGAAGCTCTTTGCCAGATTAATCCCTTAAGACCAGCTTCTTGCGCTGTTCGGCCGGGATGGATCTCGTGAGTTCGCGATTTTACGTTATGCTCGAGATTGCGGCGTCCTTTTATTCCGCCTCTGTGTGGAATCGACGCGACTCGAGATACGAGTCATTCGAAGTCGACGAGAACCTCATCGCCGAGATGGACGAGGGAATTCCTCGCGGAAACGCGAACGCGATCGAACTCGCACGCGCGCTCTTTGCGACGACCGAACGCCGCTAGCGGATAAATTAGTCGCTCCTTGTATCGGAGCCGCGTGCAGCTGGTGATTACGAAGACTCGTAATACGCGGCTGCGAGTAACGGGGAAAAATGTCACATAATTTGCCGCGGAACCGACCGCACGCACGTCATGCCGCATCATGCCGCGTGTCTGTGAAGTTAGCACGACGTTTTAAAAATTATTAGAAACAATGTTACTTCCAGTAGCATTTTTCATAGTTCTACAGTTCCTGATGAAAATAAAAAAAATTCCGTATTCTTAATTAATACTAAAAAATCGAAATTGAAAAAATGTCATGCTAACTTCACGTTCCGGCACGACATAGTCTCCTTTAAAGTACAAGAAGCCGATGAATAATACGCTTTTTGACAGCGGAGTTCCCGATAGTTCTAGGCTAGTTCTATAACTATGGAGCATTTCAGAACAAAATTCCAACAATTAATAATTCTGTACAATTTTAAATATTCACCGCCAGCACGACACTCGGTGAAAACATGTCGTGCTGTCAACTCACTGCACTTTTGACGGTAGTTCGAGTTTGTTCTACTCAAGTTCCATATAATTAAACCATTTGCAGTCATTTTGTTCCGCTGTATAACTATTTTTAAATTAATTTTAACCTTTGGCGCTAGCACGACACTCGGTGAAAACACGTCGTGCCGTCGACTTACTGTACTTCTGACGCCAAAAGTCAAAATTAATTTAAAAATAATTGTACGGCGGAACAATGACTGCAAATGGTTGAATTGTATGAAACTCGAGTAGAACTACCGTCAGAAATGTCGGCAAATTATTTACCGGCTTCTTGTACTTTAGAAGAGACTGTGTCGTGCTGAAACGTGAAGTTAGCACCGACATTTGTCCAATTTCGATTTTTTGATATTAAGAATACGGAACATTTTTTTATTTTTATCAGGAACTATAGAATTATGAAAAACGCTACTGGAACTAACATTGTTTTCTAATAATTTCTAAAACGTCGTGCTAACTTCACAGGCACCCATGCCGCAGACACGTGCCGCCTTCGCGCCGCGAAAACGAACCGAAACGAATGTCGCTCGCGGCATTTTTCGCCGACAACGCGCCAAGTCCGTTTCATCTCCGTCGCCTCCGGAACCTCCGGAAAAGTCGAGATTCGGGCAGGATTTCCCGCGGAAAGACGCGTGTCAAATCATTTCCCACACGCTACCCTCCAGTGTTTCAAATAACGCGACTAACATTTCCAGTCAGGCAAGCTGACACGACGCTCCCCCCGGAGAAAGTGAAAAATATCAATATCTTTCGGAAAGATTGTGTTTTCCGTGTTCGGAAAATTGCCTAAATTTTAGTTATTCTAGCTATTCAGGAGATAGTCAAATTTGTCAAATTTCAATTCATTTTCTTTCTTCAGGACAATACGACATATCCGCCATTTCTCTACCGCTTATTAGCGAATCTAGTCTACGAGTCTGCTGCAGTAGCATATAACAGTCTACTAATTTAGCAGCATCTAAGCGCATATACGTTAGAATCTAATAGCTTGGCGTATTGCTACAGCCGAAGCCGAGAAAAGCGAAAAATCACTTACCCTCGAAGGGCTTCTTGGACATGCCGAAGGCCGCGGCGGGTCGTCGCCATCCTCGCCAGTTATTGCAGAGCGACTCGTGCTCGCTGCTGAAGCTGCACAACGAGTCCTCCTCGAAGCGGTCGGAGTCGTCGAAGGAGAAACGGTCGTTCTCTGCCCATTCGAAGAGACCGGAGAGCCCGGCGCCTTCCTCCGTGGCGCCGTTGGCGATCCCGGATTCGGCGGCGGCGGCGGCAGCGGCGGCGGCGGCGGCGGCGGCGGCGGCCGCCCCCGCACTCCTGGAGCACGCACCACCGCCGCCTCCGCTACCACCGTTGCCGCCGCTGCCGCCTCCGCCACCACTGTTACCGGTCCCGCCGCCGCCACTACCGCCGCCGGATCTGCCGGCGTTACGTCCGCCACCGACGCCGCCGCCGCCGCCGCCTCCACCGCCTCCTCCGCCACCGCCGCCGCCGCTGCCGGAGGACCGAGCCAGGTTGCCCGCCAGTTTTAATTGTCGTACGAAACGACGACAACACACGCGACACTACGAGCGCGGCGGTCCCCCGCCGTCTCCGCCACGCCGAGTCCCGCTGGCGCGATCGCGTTGCGTCTTCGCCGACGTGCTCCGAAAAATCTGCGGGGAAGAAACAACGATCTCGTGTGTGTATTCCTGCAAAGTTCCTCCGTCACCGCGGCTGTTCTCCCGCTCGCCACCCCGCTGGCTTCGCTCTCACCCGCTTGGCCGGAGAAATCACTCGCGCGCACAACAGCGTTTCCCAAACTCACGGAGGTCATCCGAGAGAAACATCGCCGAGCGAGGAGACTCGTCGAGAGAGTCTCTCGCTCTGGCTGAGATTCTCCTTTAACGATTTCGCCCGTGATCGATATGACCGTTTTTTCTCTGCCCGTCGAACGCCGGAGAGAGGCGGAAGAGAGGGGGGGGGCGCACGTGAGTTCAGGTGATAGGGAATGTTTGACGTGATGATAAATTAGTGTAAATATCTCGTCTCTCTCGCGACCTTTCTACTGTCGCGGTCGGGGAGACCAGTTTGGGAAACGTAGCTGTGTGTTGTCTTTTCGGCGGATTGCGTATCGCTTCGCTCGCTCTCCTCGAATCGCGGCCGAGTGAGAGAGGAGTCAGCTCGCGAGAGAGGAGGAGCGTTTGCGCAAAAAACAACGCGATAAAAACGAGATAGCGAAGCTTGGTTTGTAACCATCGCCGCTTTTCGGCACTGTCGCGCGGGTTCGATCGAGCTGTATGAGAGAACTGACAAAGAAGCAAATAAACAAATAAAAAAACAGCAACTACCAACCAATTACTAAATCCCTATTACACCTTAATACAGCGCTGACAAAACCCGAACGCGAGAGTTCGCACAATCCGGCTGCCGGGCTCTCTCTCTCTCTCTCTCTCTCTCTCTCTCTCTCTCTCTCTCTCTCTCTCTCTCTCTCTCTCTCTGTCTCTCTCTCTCGGGTTAATCTCGAGATCCAAGTAGAAACGTCGCCGAGTCGCGCACTGAGAGAACGGACAAATGACAGAAAGTCGTGCGCGCTCTCTGTCGCGGCAATGACGGCGAACAAATGAGCAAGTGTCCAACAAAGGAAAGTACGTGCGCGGACAAAGGAATCCGGCGACAGAGAAACTCGCGTTCTCTCAACTTCGCTCGAAAGTCGCCGTCTCAGATACGAACGCGTGCGCGCCTCACGCGAGGCGAGAGTGCAGCCTCGAGGAACGTCAGTTCGCGCTAACGGCCGATGTCAGTGACTGACGGTGCGCGCAGATAACGATCGCTCGTCACACTTCGCCCGGTGCGTGATACGACAGCCGATAAGGTCATGGAAATCAACAAGTTTTTCGCGAGCGGCGAGGAGGCCCCCGTCGTCGCTCGATCGCTATCGCGCGGCGCGCGCACGCACGCGCACGCAGCTCGCGCGACGTTCGAGGGACGACGGGAGAGCGAGCGCGTCTCGGATAAGAGCGGCCGGGGAGCAAAAGTAAAACAGGAACAGCTGATTCGCATGGTTATCTCGTAGATACGCGTATTGATTTTCCAGCCGCGGCACTACGAGCCGTCTCGTCCCGTCTCGTCTCGTCTCGTCGTTTCGAGAGCGAACGTCGCGTACTCTTCGAGTAACGACGCTTTTCACGCATATTGCAAATGTCAAGCGGGGCATCGTTGGAAGCAAGGTTAGGGCGACTTGCTATATCGGCGCGCGATCTGAAGCCGCGGCAAGCGCCCGAGAGAAAGAGAGAAAGAGAGAGAGAGAGAGAGAGAGAGAGAGAGAGAGAGAAAGAGAGAGGATTCGCGCGATATATATCGATGACACGCGACGGAGCGCGCGTGGACCTTGACAGGTCGACAGAACATCGCGTCAAGAACGTGCAACGACCCCGACCCCGTGCACAGAAGCAACCCCCTCCTTCTCCTTCGCTCTTCTCTTATCTCCTCTTCCTCTCTTTCTTACGCCTACGATTCCGCGATGCTTCTCACGCGAATATATTTGCAGGGGCAGCTCGCGTCGCTTTCATGCCCGGCTCTATGTACGTTCCGTGCTGCGCGCGCGCGCGCGCGTGTGTGTGTGTGTGTGTGTATGCACACATATGCACACACGCATGAGTGCGCGCTCGTTAACCAACGGGCGCGCGCACATGTCGTTGCGCTCCAACCCTTGTGTCCGCTTACCTCCACCCCCGAGTCGTCCGAGTGTGTCCGAGAGGTATCCGTGTAGCGGTGCACCACCACACCACACCACCACCACACTACACCACCACCACTCCTCCTCCTCCTCCTCCTCCTCCTCCTCCTCCACCACCTCCTCCTCCTTCTCCTCTTCTCACGCACCGTCTTCCAGTACGTCGAGTGACGAGCGCATCATCGACGAGCGGGCTCGTACGTAACCGGCTTAACGGAGCGAGCGCTCCTACACAAACATAGACACACACGGCGACGCACTTGACAACAGAGCGGTGGGACAGCTGAGCCACCACAAATGCTCCATCGATGTTTCCCCGTTACGTTAGCGATACATGGCGTACGCGCGCGCGCGCGCGCGCGCGCTGCACGCTCCCCGCGAAAACTCGCCGCGGTGGTCGCGTACGCGCGACGTCGCGTACGTTCGGCGTCTCGCCGTCAACCTCGCACACTTCGGAATCGCGGCCGTGTCTGACAGCTCGGCCAGTTCGTAAACGCCAGGCTAGCCTCCCCCATCGACGACAATAACAAATATGGCGAGCAGACCACCTCCTGCGCCTCGTAGCTACGACTGACGGCTGCTTGCAAGATGGCGCTCCGCGTCCTCCTCCCACCACGCTCGCACGCGGCTGGGTATACGATCGGCCTCGCGTATCGCAATCGACCGTCCTCGATTATCTCGATTCGCTGACGGTGAACCGACGCAACTTCGCGTGCCGTGGTCGAATTGCCCGAGCGAGTGCTCGCTGCTTAGAACTCACTTCGCTGCTTTTCTTGCACCTGCCCGAATTTCTCAGGCCTAATTAGTCTGAGGAATATGAATCGTGCGCTTAATTCGGTGTCGCTAGTAGCGATTTTATCGCGAAAAAGAAGAAGGCGCGACGTAACGACGCTCGCGCTCATGAAAGCACAATAGCCATCGCGACCCTCGTCGTCGCGATAAAAATGTTATGGCGGCGTTTCCCGCCGCGCAATGCGATAAAGATGATGGCGTGCCCCCTGCCCAAAATGACGATACAAAGTGATGTTGTAGAACGGTTATAGAAAATTGCCGATCCTTCTGATTTCCTCACTAGCGCGCGCTTTATGTGACGTGCACGATGCCGTCTGATTCCATTTTTCCGATATGAACGTAACGCGTTTTTCTCAAATCCAGAATCATACCTTTCTTTCTACCAAAGAACCTCAATCCAAGTTATTTGCTAGAGAAACGCTCGTCGGACGACATGTTTAACGTTGGATTCAGAATACGGTTCTTGAGGTTATGCAAAAAAACATAAAGTTGTACTAACCTGGTTGATTGAATTAATTGTCACCGCAAGTGCGGCATCTCCATGGCGTGATAACCCACGCGGTTATCGTTCGAGGAAGAGGCGATTAAACATCACCGCGATTATTTCCGCCCGGATAATGTAATTAGCCTGCCGAATCGCTGTCTCCTATTCTGGAAAATATTCAAAAAAGATGCGTTTCAGAGATAGCGCCACTGACTTGCCAGATTGCTAACGTACACTTGAGTGTACGTGTGGTCGCCAGAGGTCAGCATCTCCGCGATTTTGTTCTGTACATGTTCGCGCCATTCTGAAGTGTCAGTTATCGGACCTGATAATTCTGAGAGCTGTATGTAAAGTTATCGTTGGGATATTAATTACTTCTGTTAATGACATTTGATATATAATAAATGAAGAAAATGTCAGAATCCTCCGGCGCACGTGCAGACCCGGAAGACATCATCAACATCTTAGTAGCTACTGACATTCATCTTGGTTTCGATTACAGCAAGCAGAGAGGTTCGTCTTCGAAGTAATATTTAATATTTATTTTGAAATCAATTCTTTGTCATTTTCTTTTCGACAGGGAGGTACTCCGACGATAGTTTTATAACTTTCGAGGAAATCTTGAAACATGCCAAAGATAACGAAGTCGATTGCATTTTATTGGGTGGAGATTTGTTTCACGATACCAAGCCATCGCAGGCCGCGTTGCTCAAGTGTGTAGAATTGCTACGAAAATATTGCCTGGGTACCAGGTTGGTATTTCTTGAATTTTACATAAGAATAGAAGATTTAGGCTTGTCGAAAATATCACAGAGTGTTGCAAACAATAAATTTTGTTGCATTGTCAGGGAATGCAAACTAGAATTCCTGAGTGATTCTGAGCTGGTATTTCGACATTGTGCACAAAAACACGTGAATTATGAAGATCCCAATTTGAATGTTTCAATACCAGTATTTACTATTCATGGGAATCACGATGATCCAAGTATACAGTTTGTTCAATTCCTGGTCATTGTATATATTCAATACATTCAATAAATATACAATTTCGAATCTGTGTTAGGTTTTGGTACCGTTGGATCAATGGATGTACTGTCAGCCACTGGATTTGTGAATTACTTTGGAAAATGGACAGATCTCACTCGTGTGGTTATGCCTCCCATAATCCTGAAGAAACGTAACACTCATATTGCACTCTATGGTTTGAGTTATATCAATGACCAAAGATTATCCAGATTATACAGGGATGACAAGGTATGTTCACTTTAAATATGAATTTTGTATTCAATTCTAATAACTAATACAATCTTCCTTGACAACGTAACAGGTGGAGTTGTTACGTGCAAAAAATATGGAGACTTTCAATATATTTGTTTTACATCAGAATCGTGTAAAACATAGCGATTTTGCTTATATACCTGAAGGTAAACTACACAAGTTTCTTGATCTGGTTATTTGGGGCCATGAACACGAATGTCGTATTACACCTGAATTTAATGCAGAAGGTGGATACCACATTTGCCAACCAGGTAGAATTATATATTTTTCCCTATCAAATTACAATATACTTCACCTATACTTTATATTTAATTAAAATATAAATTAAATATAGGAAGTTCTATTGCCACCTCTTTGTGTGAAGGTGAATCTAAACCTAAGCATGTGGGTCTTTTAAAAGTTAATAAGAAAGAATTCAAGATGAAAAGTATAAAATTAAACAGTATTAGACCATTTGTTTTTGATAATATGATTCTTCGTGATCATCATGACATTAAAGTAGGAATCTCGCTAGCAGAATCCATAAGTCAATATGTAGATCAATATATTGAAAACAATATTATGTGCAAAGTTGCTGAACAACTCACAGGTATGTTATTTGCTTTAAATTAGTTATAATTACTCTTTGAGAGAATTTTTAATATTATCTACATTTATAAAAAATAAACATGATAGGATATCCTGATCAACCTCTTCAACCTTTGATTCGGCTTAGAATATTTCACGAGGACGATAATCAAATATTCGATACTCTAAGGTTTGGAAATATAAGTTTATTCTATATTCCAATGTATTTTCTTTTTCCTCAATCAGTGCACGTCTAAAGGAAAAAAAAAATATATATATATATATATGCTTTTAGCTTAGCACGAAAGTATTGTGATGAAGTTGCTAATCCTATGGAGATGATTATATTTCGTAAAATAAAAAACGTGGAAAAAATAAGACGTGCCATTAGAGATGGACTTGAAGATGTAGAAGAGATTACTGAATTATTCCAAGGAAATGTAAAATCTTTATGAAACTTTTAGTCCTTATTATGAAATATTAAGTCAATTTTATTTCACGCTTTAACATCACTTTTTCTCATGCAGTTAGAGCAAGATTGGAATAGGACCGTGCCAGGTGGAATCAAAAAGTATTTTGACATGGAAGAAAATAAGGATAAGTTAACAGTATTGACTGTAACTGCGTTAAATGAGGCATTGAATCGATACGTTGATAAAGGTGATACGGATGCCTTTAGGAATATAGTAGAGTAAGTCATTGACACAGTTTATATTTCGGAAATTGGTCACTTTACGTGTAACTAAATTATTTCATATTCTCATGCACCAGAGATCAAATGAGAAGAACTATTGACTACGTGAGGAAACAAGATACTTCGACAGAGGAGGATATTCGTCGGGAGATTAAAAATTTCCGCGATCAAAGACTTTCGGAGGAACAACAGGAAAAGAAAAAAGTAAGAACACATGGAAGAGTTCATATATACGTGTATGCGATATGTCACTTTCGTCTACCGATATTTTTATTTTCCTAGGCTATACAGGTATTAAACACATCAAGGAATCCAAAGAGTAGTCAACAAGCTCACGATATCAATACAAGTGACAGCGATGAACCGTTTGATATAACGTCGTCGTTCAATATAACGTCTCCGGTTAAAACTAATGCGAGAAGTAGGAGTTCTAGAGGTGGTCGAGTAGCTAGAGGGAGTCGTAGTCGTGCAAAAACTAATGAAAAAAATACATCTGTTGCAAAAATGCCGGTAAATAAGATATATTATCGTTAGCCGTGTTACCTTATTTATGTATAATGAAGATAGTAATGATTTTTTCTTTATAGCGCTCTAGAAGCATAAAATCGAAACAAAGTGCTGGGCCGTTCGTTATTATAGACTCTGATTAGTTATTAAGTATTATACTCAAAACTACAAACACACATTTTTATATATGTAAATAAATATATATTTGTATGGAACCTTAATAAAAATAGGAGAACAAAGAATATATACTCTTATGTTGAATACATTTTGAGAAAACATGTCCATGTAAAAATTGCGAAATATAATAACACATGCCTATTTCTATCAACTGAGGTTAATTTAACCGGCTAGTTCCATCGGAATTGACCAATCGCATTTGTCAATTCTGACTAACGACGGATGCGATTAGTCAATTTCATTGAAAATAAAATTGAAGATAAGAAAAGTCAAATGGGACATCCTGTAAATAATGATTTCGTAATGTGACAAAATTGTCAGGAACTTTAAGTTTAAAATAAATATTTCCAAAAATATTAGATACATTAAGATGGCAGATTAGATATTTAATTTCATATATAATTGACTTAATTCCCTATATTTTGGTCAAAAAATGAAAAATATCTTTGCTTATTTCATGTGTCTCCAAGAAAAATCTTTATAAATCCTCTTGTAGACTCTTAAATATAGGGATCATATAATAAAAATTGTACCAATACAAGAATATCAAACAGATATAAAAAAATGTGTTTATCAAATAACAAAATGGAATCAAACATGAATTTGTTGGCGCGGTCCTATGGTGCGGAACTCGCGGAAATGCAATCGACGCTTGCCAATCAGAAAATTTTTCCCAGTCTCTTCTGTTGTATCCATCGCAACAACGTATTAGGCCCAGTTCCACAACTTGCTAAACTCCGTTTAACTGGGCCTTAATGGCCGCATTCAGTAGACAAAGCTGCTTATTAAGCGCTTAGTGATTATTAACTATGATTGGAATGTTCTTTTAGATCTTTAACAAATCCAAGGAAATGAACCAATCAGGAGCGATAATCACTAAGCGCTTAGTAAGCAGCTATTTCTGCTGAACGCGGCCATTGGCTACGTTTGTGCATTTTCCGTTGTGTGGGACTGCTCTCTAGTGTAGCATCCATATTTCCGATAGAACTCGATTCTGCGCTGTACGCTCGAAGTGTTCTTTTTAAGTTGCGTGAGCGAAGTGTGTCGAGCAACGTAGTTTCTGTATTTGGAGATAACAGGTATTTTAGTAGAAAATATCGTTTCTCCAATTAAACTATGAAGTTAAACTTATAAAGTGAATGTTATCGAGTAAACTGCAATTGCAAGTTTATTTTATATTTGCCACGTTACTCGGATGCAGTTGGATAAATTTTCGTATCAATCGCGTAGCTGTTGCTTGTGTTCTGTCGCAACATAACCATAAAACATGTCCGTGTTTAATCGTTCACACATTTCGATAATCTTGTAACGAACGGTTTAATAATTTGCAGAGTAGGCATTCAGATTGAGAGTTAATAATTTAATATGCTTAGTCTTTTGTAGAAATGCCGCCAAAAAGAGGTAAGGTACAGAAGGAGGAAGTGCAGGTTTCCCTTGGACCTCAACTTCGCGAAGGCGAAGTAGTTTTCGGAGTAGCGCACATTTTCGCGAGTTTCAATGATACTTTTGTGCATGTCACCGATTTATCGGGAAGGTTCGTGTGTTCTGTTATTTCTTATGACACTACAGATAAAAATTTTTAAACGTTAAATATATATATTTTTTAATTTACATTTAGAGAAACAATCGCCAGAGTCACTGGTGGTATGAAGGTGAAGGCTGATCGTGATGAAGCTTCACCGTATGCTGCTATGCTTGCAGCTCAGGTATGTTATTCAGCATTATTGCACTTAGGTTAGCTTGAAGAAAAAAAAGATACTTTGGCTTCCACATCCAGGCAGCACCTAGATGATGTGTCTGTAATCTAAGGAGCGTTCATGTTTGTGGGAAAGCAAATTCTTTTTCATAATTGGGAATATGTGCTCAAATATGTTACACATTTTCTTCTCTACGAGAGAAAGAAGACAGTTAATTCATATTTGATTTTTGATAGTATAAAAAAATGATGAAAATCAACCACTGAAGGATCTTATTCTTCATTTTGCAGGATGTTGCAGAGAAATGTAAGAGTTTAGGGATCACTGCCCTGCATATTAAATTGCGGGCAACAGGAGGAAATAAGACTAAGACACCTGGACCAGGTGCGCAATCCGCTCTGCGAGCTTTGGCTCGTTCAAGCATGAAAATTGGACGTATTGAAGATGTTACACCAATTCCATCAGATTCCACACGCAGAAAGGGAGGTCGCCGTGGACGCAGGCTATAAATTATTATGGCTTTTGGTATTGCTTATCTTGTAATAAAAATTTAGAAAGAAGAATATGCGATGTCTCATCTTACATATGTTTCCTTTCTTTAATCCCTATATAGATCTTTTGGGAATTTAAAATTGCATTTTATTTATTCTGTAATATTATTGTTACAATATTCCAAAGCACAAATCTACACTAGATAGAAAGTTTTATGATAGATAATTATAACCAAGTTGGGATCATGATAGACAAATTACAAAAAGTTAACATAAACAAGTTAAAAAAATGTGCAATAATACAGCAAAGTATAAATATTTAGGCATTCTTAGTATAATGTAATCAGCCACTGTGGCAAAAGACATATAAAGCACTCGTGTGTAGTAGAGCTACTACGATTACATGATTAGTGTAATTAGCCTTACACGATAATTACACGATTAAACATGGTAATCGATTCATATATTCGTGATTAAATCGAAATAGATTATGTTTCACCAACTAGCCGGCCAACGGTAAGATACAACTTGATTTTCACGTCGATTTTCTGCGGCGGTTTGTGCTCGAGCGTTGCGATAGTATTCACATAACCGTGTTGCATGACAAATCCAACTATTACTGGCTCCTCGTTGTCATTGTTTTCATGCGGAGTTACGTGTAAACGTATCACGGCTTTGTTTCCCTTTCTCCATACTACGAGCCTTAAAAAAATGATTTTAAATTATAAGTACACACACACACACACACACACACATATGACTTATAATATTTACGATTTGCACTTTCTAATATACGTACTTTGGATCGTCCTGAAAATTGTGATTATCACTTGTATCATCATATTCGGCAGCGTCGTCCCTTGGCGGTAGGATCAACGGGCTATGAGGCAACACCAAATCGGCGTTTGGTGCAACTTTGATCGGCTTAGGATCTTCCGTCACCGGCATTTGCCGCACGGTAGACGGCAATAGATTCGGGGACTCGCATCCCTGCAATCAGCAGTCAGTGTATCAGAGAACAAACGCAACAATCCTTGGAGAGTATCTTACTGCACGATCTTAATTTGTTATTACTTGTTGCGAATTCTCCTGTTTAAGATCCTCTTTATCTTCAATGAGCGAGGTAGTTAACGAGGTGTCCAACGGCAGTATAGTTATCTGAGTCTGATGCTGCGTCGGATTGCAGAACTTTAGCAACAGTTCGCTCGCTTTACCCGGTCGCAGTGGTTCGCAAGTAACGATCTTCACTTCTGGGATGTGATAACTGAAAAATGTGATTCTGATCCATAGTTATATGTATACAACGTGTGATACAATCGGTATTCTTCCACGGTTGTAATGGGTTTCTCAACGTGACGCTTGCAATGCTTACAGTGCGGCTAATAAAATCTTGAATTTTGTGGACTGCGGGCATAGATCTGATTTGCTGACGTTATGTTCGCACACTCGGCAACGTTGTGACCTCTTGACTAAAAATTGCCTGTGCTGAGGGCGTAGCTCGTTTATCTTCTCAGCTTGCACGTCCGGGTGTTGCAATCTCTGCTCCAACGTGGTAACTATCTCGCAGGAATTTTACGAATAGTTAGAGCAATACCCATGTTTGCCACAAATCATTTATCAGAGATAAAACTGCAAAGTTTCTCACGTTTAGTTATATCCACAGGTTCCGTAAATATATCGCTCGGCAATTCCTCCACTTCCTCGCTCGCAACTGACGGTACCGGTTGCGCGGTCGAGTAAGATTGCGTCGGTGGCTTTATAGGGTGCCCGATACGTTTGCGTACCAGAGCGGATGTGAAACTGTACATTGTCTGTTATTGGGAAGTAGTTGGTTGAAAAAAATGCGTTACATAAACAAATTCATAATGAGTTTTCCCAGAGACTTACAGCTGGCATAAACGAACGTTTCGGACGAAACTTTTTCCTCTCGCATTGTTGCTTCTCTATAGACGCTAGTATCTTATGATAATCGATGAGAGCATTAATTCGTGTCATATTTGGGTTTTCTTGCTCAGGCCAACCTCCAGTTGCTGCACAAATGCATAGTGATAAATTCTGTTTTTCAAACACTAGACTCAATAAAGAAATTATAAGGTTTTCTAGTTATATAATAACAAAATTACTCAATAACAACATATCTTCTTACCTACAGACTGATCAGGTATCCCTGCATCACGAGAACTCCACCGACACAGTGAACAGAAAAGGTAATATACCTTCTTAGGTGTAGCCTTAACATCCTTGCCTTCCTCTGCTTCTGATGCTGCCGATGCTCTCACAGGTGCCAAACCTGCTCTTGTAGATAATGTTTGAAAGCAACAAGGACAGTCAAAACAATTAAAGCATCTGTAAATACATTATTATTATCTTCTCTGAAACATTATCCTTGTAGTATGAAATCTAAAGTATGCAAACATACTTATTCTTTTTAAGGCGTACTTCTGACGATGGCAAGTTTTCCATACAATTAGGGCAGTAATGAGAATCCACCTATACAATAAAAAAGTAATTTTCCTGAATCTTACACATCAATACACATCTGTGCAAAGTCTAGTTGTTAACTGTATTCTTCATTATATATCTGTTTATATTCGCCTACAGATTTTAGGAAACGCACCTCTTGACAGACACAATAACCGCATCGTATTTTCAGGCAGTGTCGACAGAAATATATCTTAGAGATAGGTTTTAATGAACCGCAATTACATATATATCGCACGTAATCCGGTTGGTTCAAATACGTCATGCTGAAATATTTTAAAGACTGACAAGGCAAAATGACAGAAACATCACTGAGCAAGGTTTCTTTCACGATAACCTAAAAAAGCAACCATTTTCTCCGTAAAGTGACGTCTGCTGATATCACTGCGATCAGTGTTGCCAATATTATCTCTGCGAAATTTCTATGTTCAAATTTTTTAATTCAAATTTAAATTATCACATTTCGTTTTTAAATTTCAATCCTTGATCTTAAATTTTTGTATCTCCATTTAAATTTTTAAATCAGATTTGCTGAAACAATAAATAGAGAAGCAAACAATAGCATATTTTTAATTTTCCCGCTTCTCTCGCCAAGCAAACATAAAAATCTTATACCGTTTTGCCACTTGTTGGCTGCTTAAAATCAAGTACGAAAATGTTTAAAAAAAAAAGGTGGTAACGCATTACACTTTTATAGGGTGCGTTCCGAAATTCACTGCCAGTACTGAAAATACATAATTTGTGTCATGTATACTATAGATTTTCAGTGCTGACAGTGAATATCGGAACGCAGTAACAGTAGGTTCACTCGGTGGCGCTTTTGATCTCAGGTGCTACAAGACCGCCATGTTATTGGTTGTGCGCGAGTTATAATTTGAATGACAATGAATAGTAGTTAAAACAGATTTATTGCTGTTTTTCAATATTTACTGTCTACAAATCTATAATATACATTATAAAATAATATAAATATATGAACTATTACTAATATAATATGTTAATAATATTATAATTAATAATATATAGCATATTACTAATTATAATATAGAAAGATTTATATATATACAGGGTGCTAAATTTCAAACGTAACAGGTAAAAAATCTCGAAAACTAAATGATATTGAGGTCCGCCTTTTTTTTATATTGTATTGTTTCGAAGGGGACACATTTTGATTAAAACAAATTTTAACACTTTGCAAATTTAAATTTGCACTTTTGTAGTTTATTATGCAACATTTATACCCACCTCTTTCATTCATTTTACTGATTTTAATAAAACCACAATATTATATTAAAAATTCGGTCATATGGTTAATCGTTACTTACACTTACACATTTTGACGGCTATTAGCCGCCATATTGTTGGTTCGGTCATGCGCGACAAACGACCGTTCGCACTATTTTGTGCTGAGTGAACCTATACTGTTCCTTCTTATACTGTGCTACGGTGCTACTGACGAGAGAATAGCAACTGAGGAATGTTGCGGGGAGTCGCTCCATACATCTCTACATAATTGCCTGGAGCGCCTCGGCCCGCTTGCGGCTCTTTCTGAGTCCGCAGGTAAAAAATCTGGTTTATATTTGAATGACCCTCATAACAGGATATCGGTCAGAGTTTCGGCTCCCGGACATCTTTTTGTTCTCGACAGGTCCTCGTGAAACATCCGTTTCCGTAACAAAGTCTCCTATATAATAAACGATTTGACACGTCTGGAAACGCATGATGTATCGTTGCCTGCGTCCCGTTCCCTTCGTCCTGCTTCTCAATTTAGCATCCCGCCCGCTCCGGACATTCGCTCGTGGCACTGACAATGGCCGTCGGTGAGCATTCGATCTGCTCGGAGGAGCACGTGTTAATCAACGCGACGAGACTCCGATTATAAATATCCCGCGAGTCGACGAAATATCTAAACTTTTAAAAAGAGCATCAAAGAAAATCACGCTGATGTTGTCAAGGGTGAAATCTCACCCTGGTATATATTTTTTTATTTTCGAAATAAAAGAAGCCAAACAAATGCAATTAGATGTTATTTATCATCATTGAATATTAGATGAAAAGTAGAAGAGATATCGTCCGCAGCGGATAATCTAACATTTAATAAGAACGAGACAAAATTCGCGTGGGATGAAATTCCACTCTTTAACGCTACCATGACCTTTAATTATTCTCCGAAAACGGCGTTACAACAATTTTGACAGTCTGTACAATTAGTTGCTGACACATTTCCTAATCGTGCACATTCCTTTTTAATTAACATAAAGCTAACAAATGTCCGATGCTTCGACAGAGAAATTTTCTTTATTTTCAGTAATCAATAAATAGAGTAAATCAATGTCGCGTACATTTGAAAGGCCTCCTCGCATTTCCTCGTCGTTCCGGAACCTTCGAGAAAAGAAGAGACGTCCAAGGGCAAGTCTCTCTTGCTTCAACCGCTGCCGAGGCCCGCAATGTTTACATCGCGCCGATTGTGTTGATCGGCTCGCGAGCGACGACACTTTTTGCCGTCGTATTGACATTCGCATGCCTCGCGTACTCGATCTCATTCCATCGGCAGCAGCCGTGCGCGACGCGTTCGTCACTTCCGTCTCGTATAATTGAAAGGAATGTATCTTGTCGGTCCTCGAGATACTCAATCGGCATCGCGTCGGCATCGCGTTGATTAACCGCGCGATCGAATCGCGAGTATCGACATTAGAAGCGTGAGCGAGTGAAATCCGAAGGACTTCAGCAGCCGGGAAGCAGGACGCCGGCAGCGATACGTCATGTTTTCAGGTATGTGGAATTATTTATTATGCGGGAGGTCTTCAATAACGAGAGCGGAGTTTGACGAATTTTCCGGGAATAAGAAGTCGGAATTTTGCGCTCGGCATACACGATCCGTCATCATCCGACTAGTAATCATGACTTTATGAATCTGCAATTACTCTTGTCAATCTCTGTCTGTCTATCTATTTATTGTATTGTTGTATACAAGAGATATTGATCCAGACAGAGACGGATAACGGTAACCATGAACGCGGATCTCTAATTGATCATGTTCTCAATCAAACATTCTGAATAATTCCCAACTGTGTGAGTATACCTGTCTTGTGTAGAATATTCAACGTATCATATCGCTTCTTAGACTGCGACCTTCTTTGTTTTCGGTCAGCACTTCTTTCAAGTCTGTTTACTCTCGTTACGGATTGCAAATTTAAATGGCCATTCGTAAAAGAGTATTTTCGAGAGCACACAACTGTAGTCTCCGTTTCTTGTTGTCATTTTTTTCGTCAGCTCTTTCAAGAGCTCCAAGTCCTATCTAGACTTTCAATATCAATGAAGAAAAAAACCGTAGTGAATATTCTCCACTCAACCCGACCAAACATTCTTTCTTTATCGCAGCTTACCGATCAGGAACGTTAAATTTTTGTTCCAGACGTTGCGGGAAGCAAGTCCGGCGGACGTGGATGCCGCACCGGAGGATCTGGTTCGGGCCAAGCAGAGTCGGTCGGAAGGTAAAGTTTACAAGTTTCCTACACATCTGTGTTCAACCCTTTGCAATCTTTGCTTTTGCAACTTGTTCCTCATCTCAGCTCTCTTGAAAGCTTCAAGTCTCATTTAAATTTTCAATGTTGGAACAAAAATGTAAAGATAAAAATCCCATATCAAAATATTTCCGTATTTTCGATTCGTCTCGACCAAAGATATTTTCTCTCTACCGCAGATTATTAACTGGGAAAACTACTTTTCTGTTTCAGTTGTTGTAGAAAGCAACAATCCGGCAGATGCGGATGCCGTACCGGAGGACCCGGTTCGGGCCAAGCAGAGTCGGTCGGAAGGTAAAGTTTACAAGTTTCCTACACATCTGTGTTCAACCCTTTACGATCTTTGCTTTTGCAACTTGTTCCTCATCTCAGCTCTCTTGAAAGCTTCAAGTCTCATTTAAATTTTCAATGTTGGAACAAAAATGTAAAGATAAAAATTCCGTATCAAAATATTTCCGTATTTTCGATTCGTCTCGACCAAAGATATTTTCTCTCTACCGCAGATTATTAACTGGGAAAACTACTTTTCTGTTTCAGTTGTTGTAGAAAGCAACAATCCGGTAGATGCGGATGCCGTACCGGAGGACCCGGTTCGGGCCAAGCAGAGTCGGTCGGAAGGTAAAGTTTACAAGTTTCCTACACATCTGTGTTCAACCCTTTACGATCTTTGCTTTTGCAACTTGTTCCTCATCTCAGCTCTCTTGAAAGCTTCAAGTCTCATTTAAATTTTCAATGTTGGAACAAAAATGTAAAGATAAAAATCCCATATCAAAATATTTCCGTATTTTCGATTCGTCTCGACCAAAGATATTTTCTCTCTACCGCAGATTATTAACTGGGAAAACTACTTTTCTGTTTCAGTTGTTGCGGAAAGCAACAGCATTCTGGCAGACGCGGATGCCGCACCGGAGGATCCGGTTCGGGCCAAGCAGAGTCGGCTTGAAGGTAAGTTTACAAGTTTACTATAGTCTTCCGTTTGACCCTTGGCGATCTAGAGCTGGGATATAATTTCCGGCTCGACTTGAATTACGATCGCGGAGGGTAAACTACTCTTTTACTCGCCCGCACTCGTTGGTACAAATCTGATGAGAGAATGTGAATTTTTTGTTACAGAGTTGAAGCGGAACGTGGCCGGCTCTGACTGCAAGTCGTTTCGGTGAGTCAAAATGAAAAGAGAAACAATATTCTGCATGACGGATGTGGGACTAAAAATATCGTTCGAGTCAATGCGAATTGCAAATAGATTCTTGCATGTGTGTGTTTGTGACGTTGAATAAAATACATTACTCGAAACAATCAGGGGATTACTTAATCAATAGCCTGCATTACATACGAGATTTTAAATACCGAATGATTCTCTTTTGATGTTCGGTCATCTGAATAAGAGATATTCATATTTACAAACGCGATACGGTCATTAGCTGCTTTATTTTCATTTTTCAAACGGGCCGCAGAATTATTTAATGACAATTATTTGACAATATTCAATTGTCCATGTAAAATATATTCATACGCATAAATGCCGATACCGTTGGCTACTTTTCCTTTTATTTCCAAAACAGGCTGTAGAATTATTTGGCAATATTGTCCATTCATTACGATCCCTATTGTCTCGAGTAGCGTATAATGCGCTCAGAAATTGCGCCAGTGCACGCCGAGCTTGAGGTATCCTCGCTCGCGTGCCTTTGAATATCGCGGCCGCGGTTATCAAAATACGCGTTTTTACCCGCGCTGCTAACAAAGAAAGCTTAAATTCTCATTTCGCCAAAATATCGCGAACGAAGTAAACTTCGTCGTGACGGAGCTATGCGTGAATGCGGACGATGCGTGAAAACTTTGCCCC